TCCTTCACCAGGAACAGCTAATCAGATGCTCCTGATAAATGCCCCATTGCCCAGCCTTTGACTAGCCTTTCAACCTTCCTGGGCTCTGACTACCGACACCACAATTTTAGCTAGAAGCAGCTACAGAAGAGAATACATCATCCCTGTCCCCTTAACAGGCTGAAAGTGCTAAGTCAAAGGCAAATTCCCTTTGGGGGAAACCTGTTGCGTACATGTCAATCATTCTGAGATAGTCCAGCAAAAGTAAAACCTTGACCATGCAGAATACAGTGCCCCATCTGGATGATGGGCCCACAACATTGGGTTGACCCCATGCATTCATAATATGATCCTAAATGCAGGAAAGGGGTACTATATGATGGTCTAGCTCTCCCCTCAACATAAAATAGATATTAAACACAAGAAACAGGGGATCCAGGAACAGTCTAGATGATATGAGGGTCTTTTTAATTGGTCTCCTTAGCTAACCACCCTACTCTCAGCACTAGCCATACCACGTCTAATCCTTATCCTCTTACTGAACTTAAGACCCTGCTTGATTAACAGTCTGATGGCCTTTGTTCGGGAAAGAGTCAACATAGTCCAACTCATGGTCCTCCGGTCTCAATATCATCCCCTAGAACTCCCAGACCCACAGGACCCATGATTGCGTCCTCTCTACTTACTTGTAGAGGGGGTAATGAAAAGGCCTAACTTAACATTAGTGCATCCATGACAGGCTGCAGACTAACAACACTGGGACTAGGCATCACCATTACAATAACCAGGAAAAGCCATAAAACCTGCAGGGGACCAATCAGAATTGAGACAAACAAGTACTAAATACTCTAAGACGTAAAGGATAGCTTACCTCACTTAAGTATAGGTTGCCAATTTTCTTGCAGCAATGCCAGTACCAATCCCTCTTTGGAAAGATTTTTGTTAACTCACCCCTGCCTAATCAGGAGTTCAGCTTCCATCTGAACTGGAATTCCCTTACCCTTCATCCTTTACTCCTTAAAAACCCTGCCATAACTGAACTCAACACTCTCCCTGATCCAATTGCTGTGTCATAATGGACGGGGAAGCCCAAGCTCGAGCTTTCAACAAATGTTCTTTACTTTTGCATAGGAACTGGGACTCCTGGTGGTCTCTGGGGGACTCATGACACAATCATAACAAGCCACCTCTCCAGCCTCTGTTGTAGAATCTTAATTCCACTCTTTAAAAAAATGTATTGCAGGGGCTGGAAAGATGGCTCTGTGGTTAAGGGCACTGACTGCTCTCCCAAAGGACCTGGGTTCAAATCCCAGCACCCACATGGTAGCTAACAACCGTCTGTAACTCAAAGATCTGACCTGCAGGCAAAACACCAATGCACATAAAATAAAAGTAAATAAATTAAAAATAAAAATAAACCGCCGGGCGGTGGTGGCGCACGCCTTTAATCCCAGCACTCGGGAGGCAGAGGCAGGCGGATCTCTGTGAGTTCGAGGCCAGCCTGGTCTCTAAAGCGAGTACCAGGAAAGGCGCAAAGCTACACAGAGAAACCCTGTCTCGAAAAACCAAAAAAAAAAAAAAAAAACAAAAATAAAAATAAACCATTGGAAAAAAGTGTATTGCATTATTTAGTTAGGTGTGCATGTGAGCACACAATCATGGCACAGTGCACATGTGGAAGTCAAGAACAGCGTGCAAGAGACCATTCTCTTTCCACCCTGTTGGTCCCAGGGATCTAACTAGGTCATCTTTAGCCACCTTTACATGCTGAGCCATCTTACAGGCACTTAATTCCACTCCTGAACAGACGTGGATGCCTCACAAACAGAGAGACAAACTCAGTTGTTTGTCCTCCTCACCGTGGAATCGTCTATAAATCTTTTATGACCCTTACCAAACATCTATTATGGCTAGTTCTATGTCAGCTTGACATGAGGTAGAGTCTTTGTTTGTGTTTGTTTGTTTGTTTGTTTTTGTTTGTTTGAGACTGGGAATCTCTACCTAGCCCCGCCTTTCTTGGAACTCACTATGTAGATCAGGCTGGCCTCAAACTCACAGAGATCCACCTGCCTCTATCTCCCAAGTTCTGGAATTAAAGGTGTGTGCCACCATGCTCAGCCCAAGCTAGAGGGTGCCCATGGGGGAGCATGCCCATTAGCAACACTCCTCCATCGTCTCTGCTTCAGTTCCTGCCCTCCATCTCCCAGTGATGGAGTGTGACCTGGAAGTTGTAAGTTTTCTCCTCAGGTTGCTTTAGTCGTGGTGTTTGGGCAAACAGCTGTTGCTAAGGTAGTGCTCAGGGGCCACAGGATGATGCTCCCGCCTGCTTTCCTTCCTTGTCAGTCTCTTGACAGCAGAGTGAGAAACAGAGCTTTGTAATTACCGCTGCTAAAGTGACAGCTGATATTTGTCTGCAAATGGTAGGTATATATCAAAATTGATTTTTACAAATAAGTGAGATTAACCTGTATGCCATGTTTGTTTTATAGCATTTCTTTTTGTTTGGTTGGTTTTTGTTTTGTTTTGTTTTCCAAGATAGAGTTTCTCTGTGTAGCTCTGGCTGTCCTGGAACTCACTTTGTAGACCAGGCTGGCCTCAAACTCAGAGATCCTCCTGTCTCTACCTCCCGAGTGCTGGGATTAAAGGCATGCACAGCCACCACCCAACATTGTATACCATTTCATTCATTTATTATAGATACAAATAGAATGGATTTTCTTAGTTTTGTTTTTGTGTTTTACATAGAGTTTCACTATGTAGCCAGGCTGGCCTCAGCTCACCATCCTCCTGCCTCAGCTATACTTCTGGCTATAATATAGTGTGATGTACCAAGTAGTAATAAAGTGACTGGGAAGATAAACATCCTTAAGAACAGATCATATGGTACACACCTGCAATCCCAGCACTCAGCACTGAGGCAGAAGGATGTCAATTCAAAGCTAGCCTGAGCCACGTGGTGAGACCTTGTTCCAGGGAAAAATATCTTGGAAATCTGTTCGTTTGTCGACAGGGCTGTGCTCTGCTCTGTGGTGCAAGCTGTCTTTGAACTCTTCTTGTCTTGTCCCTCATCCTTTCATACACAGGGACACATGACTACATCACCATTCCTGACTCGTTTGGTTTTTTGCTTCCTCCCCACCAGGGTGGGGTTGAAATAGGGTTTCATAGCCGCCCCCCCAGGCTGGCCTCCAATTCAGTCTGCCCAGCCTCCCAAATGCTAGGAGGACAGGCATGAGCTAGTTTTGTTTTGTTTGTTTGTTTTCTTTTCGAGGCAGGGTGCTCAGAGTTGTTTGTGGTAACTGATGGAAGTTGTGTATGGTTCGTTCGTTCATTTGTTTGTTTGTTTGTTTGTTTGTTTTGTTTTTAGAGACAGGATTTCTCTGTGTAGCTTTTTGGTTCCTGTCCTAGATCTCAATCAGGCTGGCTTCGAACTCACAGTGATCTACCTGGCTCTGCCTCCCGAGTGCTGGAATTAAAGGCAGGCGCCACCACCACCCAGCTAAGTTGATTTATTTTTAAGAGATCTTACAAATGGCCTTGTGCTACTCAGGGTTCTCAGCCTGGACCACTGGGTAGGTATCAGGGAAGTCTTAGGCTGCACTGAAGCTGTATAACATTAATTTATGTACCTCTTTGGGTTTTTTTGTTTTTAAAGATTTATTATTTATTATGTATACAGTGTTCTGCCTCCATGTTTGCCTACAGGCGAGAAGAGGGCACCAGATCTCATTACAGATGGTTGTGAGCCACCATGTGGCTGCTGGTAATTGAACTCAGGACCTATGGAAGAACAGCCAGTGCTCTTAACCTCTGAGCCATCTCTCCATACCATATGTACCTCTTTGTACATTTTTCTGGAAACAGTTTATTAACTGTCTTTGTACTCTTAGAGAGATCTATAGTCTAGCTACAGCCATTTTTTAAGATTTATTTATTTTATGTGTATTAACACTCTATCGACTTCATGCCAGAAGAGGGCATCAGATCCCATTATAGATGGTTGTGAGCCATCATGTGGTTGCTGGGAATTGAACTTAGGACCTCTGGAAGAGCAACCAGTGCTCTTAACCACTGAGCCAGCTTCCCAGCCCCTAGTCATTCTTTCTTTCTTTTTTAAATTATTTTATTATTTTTAGTTATGTGTATGTATGTATCTGCTTGCAGGTATGTGTACACGAGTATAGATACCTGTAGAGGCCACACGAGGGTGTCAGATCCCCTGGAGCTGGAGTTACAGATGGCTGTGAGCTGTCTAATGTGGGGGTGGAGGACTGACCTCTGACCTCTGAAGAGCAGCCAGTGCTCCCAACTGCTGAGCCACCTCCCCAGTCCCTCCAGCCACTCTTGTGCCCCACCCTGCAACCAGAGCCTTTACCACTTGATTTCCCTGCCACAGAGTTTCTTCTAGGTCATCCTCTCTGGGATGTCCTTCCTGATTCTCTGTGATGGACCCTCTGGATCCTTGGAAGTGCCCCCATCTCAGTTACAATTTGTCCCTTTGCTTCTCAGTCTCGCGCCTTTGTTTGCTGATAGAAAAACCAGAAAATCAAAAATGATCACATCTTCATTCCTTATGATCCTGGCACCTACTTGGTCCCCGTCAAATTTGATGAACAAATTGACTGAGTATGAGTGGAAGGACTGTGTGTGCTCAGAGTTGTTTGTGGTAACTGATGGAAGTTGTGTATGGTTCTTTTGTTTGTTTGTTTGTTTTGTTTTGTTTTTAGAGACAGGGTTTCTCTATGTAGCTTTTTGGTTCCTGTCCTGGATCTCAATCTGTAGACCAGGCTAGCCTCGAACTCACCGAGATCCGCCTGGCTCTGCCTCCCAAGTGCTGGGATTAAAGGCCACCACGCCCAGCTACTGTGTATGATTCTTATTTGTTTAAACCGAATTGAGTTCTTAGGAGTGAATACTGCTTGTGTCAAATATTTCTTTACTCTGGCTCTTCTGTAGAACAAACTTAAGGTGAGTCTTTGAGAAACATAATCTTGCCTTTCTGTTGTTCCTTTATTCTCCAGGCTGTAGCTGCAGACAGCGCTTGCCGTAACTTTTAATTATCTTTGGAAAGAAACTGGCCAGCGGGGGAAAATGATCAAGTTTTTCCTTATGGTGAACAAACAAGGCCAGACCAGGCTGTCTAAGTACTATGAGCACGTAGAGATCAATAAGCGGACTCTTCTGGAAACGGAGGTCATCAAGAGCTGTCTGTCTCGATCCAGCGAACAGGCAAGTGTCTGTCACTTTTTGTCCTCCCTGTAGGCAACTCTCAAGGGCCATGATCTTCTCTGCGCTGTATCCCTTCAAGGGCCATGATCTTCTCTGTGCTGTATCCCTTCAAGGGCCATCAGGGAAAACTGGACCAAAGAGAAAGGTAGATGAAAGGAAGCGTGACTCCTGCCATCCCTGTGAGACAATAGCAAAGGCAAGCCAGGAAAGTCCTGGGTTTTTATTTAGGATAGTGTCTTAGTCTATCATAGAAGTGGCTGCTAAATTTACTCCTGCTTGTAGACATAATCTTCTTTTTTTGTTCTCATGAATTCAGCCCTTGGAACTCGGCAATGTCTGAGACTGGCTGGTGGCTTTCTGTAAGCCAAACCAGGAAGGTCAGATGACTGGCATGGCAGCGAAGACTCAGGACTCATATGGTGCCAGGGGGTAATAATAATACGATTTCCATGTGGATAATCATTCTTTTCTGCTGACCGTCTTTTGTAAATATACAACCGACGTAACACCAGAACCAGCGATTTAAAAACAAACTTGGTTTGAACTCACATTTTTTAATTGTGTAGATAAGGAAAATGGAAGTTAACAGTTCATACAAAATAACAAATCTATTCCTCCTGCCAGAACCTGGAGGCTAAATACATTCATTTGCATAATAAGGGATGGTTTTGTGGTGTGGTTTCAACTCTTTCAACCCGGGGCCTCAAGTGCTCAGTTGGCACCCGCTCTCCCTGCTCTCCCAGCCTGCTGCATTGCAGCCCACTTCAAAGAACTGAGTGCAGAGAGCTAATTCTAGGACAGACAAGGCGACACAAAGAAAAACAAAACCAAACAAACAACCAAACAAACAAAAAAACTGAGTCCATTTTTGCAAAGAACTTAGAGAATTTATTTAATACAAGTCCCAATTGTCATCTCCATTAGAAAGCATTGGACAACGGTTCCAAAGTCAGAATCACCCACTTCTTCTCAGTTCTCCATCTTACCCTTTGAGAGGCTGCCAGTGGGGAGCATCAGCTGTCATAAAATACTAAGTTGCATCAACACTCACAAGTTGCATGTTACAAGTGTATTTCCCTTGGCGTCAAAATCAGTTTTCCAGTTGCAATCTCTCCTTGTTTCTCTTTGAGTTACTCCTTTGGCCTGCTGTGGGCACACGCTGCTTGATGGCATCACATAGAAATAGGAACTAGGAACTGTGTTTCTCACCACATGTGGGAAATACATGAGAAACACGCCTGTTGGAGTCTCCCCACAGTCCACAAGCCTGCCGTAATTTTTTTATGTGTTGTTTTGTTTTTGTTTTTCGAGACAGGGTTTCTCTTTGTAGCTTTGTGCCTTTCCTGGAACTCGCTTTGTAGACCAGGCCAGCCTCGAACTCACAGAGATCCACCTGCCTCTGCCTCCCGAGTTCTGAGATTAAAGGCGTGCGCCTCCACCGCCCAGCTCCTGCCGTAATTTAAACAGCATTTCTACCAGAAATTCACCCTTTGGAATAAAAATATTGGTGGATTTTGAGGGTACTCTAAAATTATTTTTATTTTAAAAAGAAACCTCTGAAGCCAGTGGTGGCACACACCTTTAATCCCAGCACTTGGGAGGCAGAGGCAGGTGAATCTCTGTGAGTTTGAGGCCAGCCTGGTCTGCAGAGTGAGATCCAGGACAGCCAGAGTGGTTATACAGAGAAACTCTGTCTCAAAACAACCAAAAAAAAAAAAAAAAAAAAGAACGAAAGAAAGAAAGAAAAGAAAACACTGGACTTTTGGCATCAGATACCAGTGTATTATAATATCAGCTTAGTTTAATTCTGTCCAAAGATGTGCTTGTTTTTTGTTTTGTTACGTCAGAAATGCTTGAGAGATTGAAAACTGTTCCTCAGCCATTCATGGTGGCCTATACCTGTAACCCCAGCACTTGGGAGGGTTGTGAGATAAAAGCCAGCTTGAGCTACAGAACAAGCACAAGGCTAGCATGGGCTATAACATGTGCCAAAACAAAACCAAGTAACTACGGTCTGGAGAGATGGCTCATGGCTAAGAGCAACTGCTGCTCATGCACAAGACCAGGGTTCGAGTCCCAGCACCCATATGGTGGCTTCTAACTATCCAAGCTCCAGTCCCAGGGATCCAATGCTGTCTTCTGGCTTCTTAGGACTCTTGCACACATGTGGTGCACATACATGCATACATTCAGGAATACACATAGTAGAAGCCAATAACTATTTTAAAAAACACAGAAGATCTTCAGTTCTTTCAGATAGGTGTGCTTCCTTGAAAGGTCCAACTGACAAACGTCTCACTGGCCCTCCAGTGAGCTGGAAGCCACAGCGTGGCCCTTACTGCCTCTCTCTGTCCTAGTTACTAGTTAGTTTATTGTTTTGGGGACAGGTCTTGCTTTATACCCCCAGCTAACTTTGAACTTGACATGTGCCTGCCTCCGCCTCCCCACTGCTGGCTCACTGGCCCGCGCCACCTGACTTGGCTGTCTATTTTATTTTGTATTATGTATTTATATTTGCTTTTTTCAGTTAAGGCAGGTTCACATTCTGGAGCCTGGGCTGTCCATGAATTTGAGATACCCCTGTTTCAGCCTTGGATTAAAACATGATCCACCATGCTTGGCTCTATCCTCATTTTATATTAAACCCTGAAATTCCTCCTTGTTATATAGACTGCCAAGAACCCTCCCCATGGAGGGTTTCCATAGTCAAAACGTGCGGCTTCATTCCCAGGTACACTGGGTGCCAAAGAGCAATATATCCTGCAGCAAAAAGCCACTAAATTCTTGCTCGATCACATGTGGCCAAGCACACCTTGACGCTGAAGCCTTCCACTGTGCCTTCAGCCTTCCATCTGCCTGGGGACTTCCCATAACCCTTTGTACAGAGGCTGAAGGAGACAGATGAATGAGAAAGGAGTTGTTTTATCTACAGGTCCGTGGTAGTAAGCTAGTTATTAATTCATAAGAAACAGTATTTACAATGGAAAAACTTGTCTAGCATCTGCTGTGCAAAGGCCACTGTTACATAATTTATAAAATAATCTACATTGGTTCTTTCCATGAATAGGAAAAGGAAGTTGCATATAGGTAGATGATGGATGGGTGATAGGAGATCAGAACGCTTAGCTGGTTCCTCCATGACTATTCAACAGTACAGAACTGAACAGATCTAATTGCTTCCCAAGAATTCATGGAAAGGTGGAAGGAAGACCGACCGTCATCATGTTCCTGCATCTTTACATTAAAGCGCTTTCAAATGCTAATTACTCAGTAGCTTTGCTCGCTGAGCCCGGCAGGGAGCCAAGAAATGAAAGAAGAAGAAAAAAAAGCACAAGGGGAACCCATGTGATCACTTGGGTCTTCTTCCAAGACTGCTTCTTCTCCTCCTAAAGATGCTCCTCAGTAACCACTGAATGTTGTCAGAAGCCAACAAAGGCCGTTTGGCATTTCGATGTCTAAATTTCTGGGGGGGGTGTTGGCAGATACTCAAACTGTCACCTAGGAATTTTGCATGCTGTGTGAAGAAACCTCTGTCAACCAGACATTCATGTCTAATTGTGTTTCATCTAGTGCTCGTTCATTGAATATAAGGATTTTAAACTGATCTATCGGCAATATGCAGCTCTCTTCATTGTGGTCGGAGTTAACGACACTGAGGTAAGATCGCCCCTGGACGATGTGAGACTTCCATTCTCCTAAAGTTCAAGTTTCCTTCCTGCTTGTTCCCCAAGGACTAGTAAGCCTCTTCCAGAGTATCTGGGCCTCACTGAGGCTGGAGAGCTGGATGGAAGAGAAACACTGTAGATGCTTCTTGGACTAGATGACCAGCTTACAATTAGAGAGGCATAAAACTACAAAATGCTTTCCTTTTTATGGGTGGGTTTTTTGTTGTTTATTTTTGTTTTCTTTCGGTTTTTTGTTTGAGTTTTTATTTTGTTACTATCTATCTATCTATCTATCTATCTATCTATCTATCTATCTATTTAAAGTTGGTCTCACTGTGAGCCTTGGATAACATGAAACTTTAGGAAGCGCTAACTGCCTCAAACTCTTAGAGATCTGGCTGGCTCTGCCTCCCAAGTGATGGGCTCGAAGGCGTGCGCCACCACACCCAGCTGTTTTATTCCATTTGATTTATTTGGACCACAGCATACATGTGGAGTTCAGAGGGCAGCCTGCAGGAATTGACTCTCTCCTTTCTTCACGTGGGTCCTGGAGAGCAAAGTCGGGTCACCAGGCTTGGTGACAGGTGCCTTTCCCCATGAGCCCTCTTGCTGGCCCTTTTATTGTGTGTCATTTTGTTCCTCTCTGTGCTCTGTTTTGTTGTGGCTGCCTCTGCTGTGCTCCCCAGACCGGTGTCATCCCTGTAAGCTCAAGCAGACTTCCCAGCTCAGCCTCCAAACTGCCGGGATGCCGCAAGGACCACCGTGCCTAACCAGAATTCCCTCTTTATCATAGGCCATACTGTTGCCCTCCTCCTGCCCTGTTACACGTGGGCACCTTGCGCAATCACAGGTGCCTGTCAGTCATAGCACCAAACTGGGACTAGGACTTGTCATCTAAGTGTGAAAACCAGGGGTGTGGATCCCCAGAACCCACATACAACCCGGGCAGGCATAGTGGCCTCCTGTAATGTTAGCGCTCAAGAGACAGAGACGGTATCCTGGAGGCAAGCTGATCCTACCTCAGTAAATAAGTGGAAAGTAATTGAGGAAGAGATCAGAAGTCAACTCTGGGCCTCCACATACACACACAGGTGTGCCCATACACATAACAAATGTGTACACGCATGTGGAAAAAAGACATGACTGACATATCAGAAGTCACAGCAAAATGTAAGCGTGGTTGTGCTGTGCTTGTCTCTCAGGTGAGACTTGCCTTGTTAAGGAGTGAGGCCAGCATCTGTGGCCATGGAGACCACAGATGAGGGGTGCATAGTTAAAAGCCTTTGAAGTCTCAGTGGGCTGGGAGATTGCTTCAGACACTCGGTGAAGGAGTGGAGCTCACACCTCTAATCTGTGCTCTGACATTTCAGTTTGGCCAGATTCATCCTGGCCTATACACGTCTTAGTGGTTAAGGTTTCTTGTATCTCATTCATTAATAAGCATCTTTTCCAGGCAGTGGTGGCGCATGCCTTTAATTCCAGCACTGGGAAGGCAGAGTCAGGCCAATCTCTGTGAGTTTGAGGCCAGCCTGGTCTACAGAGCAAGATCCAGGACAGGTTCCAAAACTACATGGAGAAACCCTGTGTCGAAAAACAAACAAACAAAAAAAGCATCTTCGCTTTTGTTTCTTTTTTCTTCCTTCCTTTCCTATTTTGAGACAGTGTCTCATGTAGACCAGGCTGCTGCGATTACAGGCATGCACCACCACACCCAGTTCCTGTGCTGCTGGGGACTAAGCCCAGGGCTTCATGCATGCGAGGCAGCATCCCAGGCAAGGGCTGTACCAACTGAGCTCCATCCTTCCTTCGCCTCAGTAAAATCTTTACATGAGCAACTACAGGCCCTTTGCATACCAGTGACTGGGATGCCCCTTCGCTCACACATCTATTCTGAATCTATACTGAACCATGTGCTCTAACCTTGGAACCCACTGGGCTTGGTTTTTTGGTTTTTTTTTGTTGTTGTTTTGACTGAGGATATGATGAAAGTAATTACACCCTTCTTTTATTTCAGAATGAAATGGCTATTTATGAATTCATACACAATTTTGTGGAAGTTTTAGACGAGTACTTCAGCCGAGTGGTAAGTCTAATGACTAGAAAATGGTTTTAACCCAGTTTTCCAGAAATTGAGTCATGCGGATGTGTGTCAGTATTGTGTGTTAGTATATTAACATGTAAAAGCTGAAATCCCTGGTGCCGGTTTGCTGTCCCTCTTGCTCATCATAGGTAGTACAAACCGTACGTGCCTTAGCTCTTCATGAAGACTGTTTTAGTCGGCTTCTATCGCTGTGGCAAACACCAAGCAACTGGGGAGCTTACAGCTCTCGGGTCACAGTGCACGGCTGAGGGAAGCCACGACAGGAACTCGGGGCAGAATCCTAGGGGCAGGAACTGAACACGAGGCCATGGAGGAATGCTGCTGACTGGCTTGCCTCCCTTGGCTTGCTTTTTTTTAATATATATATTTTTATTTTATAATTAACTTGATTTCACATATCAGCCATGGATTCCCCCGTCCTCCCTCCTCCCACCCCCCAGGGCTTCCCCCCAATCCACCCCCCATTCCCACCTCCTCCAAGGCAAGGTCTCCCCTGGGGAGTCAGCCCAGCCTGGTACATTCAGTTGAGGCAGGTCCAGTCCCCTCCTCCCTACACCAAGGCTGAGCAAAGTGTCCCAGCATAGGCCCCAGGCTCCAAAAAGCCAGCTCATGCCACCAAGGACAGGTCTCAGTCCCACTGCCTGGGGGCCTCCCAAACAATTCAAGCTAATCGACTGTCTCACTTATCCAGAGGGCCTGGTCCAGTTCCATGGGGGCTCCTCAGCTACTGGTTCACAGTTCATATATTCCCACTAGTCTGGCTATTTGTCCCTGTGCTCTTTCCAACCATGGTCTCAATATCTCTCGCTCGATATTCCTTGAAGATTAACCAAACTGAAGAGTGCATTATAAACTTATTTTTACAACAGATCTTCTAAATTCTCTCCATATCACCATAAAAACAATTACCCAATAGTCTTTAAGTTGCTATGTGACCTTGGTTCCTCTTATCTCTTCATCTGCTTGGTTGCACTGGACTGATTCTGTCCTCTTTGTGGTCCCTTAGACGTATGTTCTCCTCTGAGCCGTTAAGATTGTTATGTCCTCTGTCTTGCATATTCTGCTGTGATTCCTCCATCACTTGCCTACTCATCTTCAGCTCTGTACTCATATACTGCTTTTCCAGTGAGGGTTTCCCTGCCTTCTCTCATTTGAAATTAATGTTTCTTATCCATTTTACACCGTCCAGACATCTTTACAGCAGTTCTAGCTTGGTTTCTATCTGTGTGGTTAAAACGTTGACCAAAAGCAACTTGGTAAAGAAAGTGTTTATTTTGTCTACCGTGAAGTCAGGGCAGGGACCCAAGACAGGTCCTTAGAGGCAGGAACTGAAACAGAGGCCGTGGAAGAATGGAAGAATGCTGCTTACTGGCTCGTTCTTCATGGCTCACTGAATTTGCTTCTTTATAAAGACCAGGACTGTTTTCTCAGGTGTACCACCACCCAGAGTGGGTTGGGCCTTCACCCCATCAATAACTAATCAAGAAAAGGTCCCACAGACTTGTCCAGAAGACAGTCTGATAGAGGCAGTTCTCATTGTGGATTCCTCGTCTCAGCTCATTCTAGCTTGTGTCCAGATTACCAGCACACCTGCGTTACTTTTCTTCAAATCTCCTGTCACCATCTGAAATGTTTTTGTATTTGTTTGTTGGCAATTTCCAAACACGGGCTTCTGTGACACACAAACCACGTTCCTCATATCTTTATCTTTCGCATCAGAAAGGCCTTTTAACTTAAGAGCTAGACTGTCACTCCAAATCCTCTGGTCAGCATCCTCCTCAGTGACTGCCAAGCCTCCGTACCTCCTGCAGGAGACTTTTGGTATTGTGTCTTCAGTCCTTGGAAAGTTAGTACTTGGATGATTTTCTCATCTTCATTACCACTTTGGGTGGATCTTCGCTCTTGCCATGCCGCCTGACCACTGTCGACTCCCCAGAGCGGCTTGCTTCCTTATAGTTCTCAGAACCACAAGGATGGTGTGCACATGCACACACACACACACACACACACACACACACACACACACACACACACACACACACAGCTCTGGGCAGGTCACTTCGAATCAATCATCAATCAAGAAAATTTACCAAAGGCTTGCTGATAATGGACACATTTTCTCAATTAAAGTTCCTCTTCCCAGACAATTCTAGCTTGTGTCAGGTTGACGGAAGCCTAAGCAGCACAACCCACTCTCAGAAGACTCAGTCCCTCCATGCATGTTGCTGTCCGTCAGGACATTTTCCCTCCAGCTTGTTGTTTTTATATCCCCTCTGCTTCCCTTCCTAAGAAAACAGAACCCTTTTTACTTTTAAGAATCATTTCCGGCCGGGCGGTGGTGGCGCACGCCTTTAATCCCAGCACTCAGGAGACAGAGGCAGGCGGATCTCTGTGAGTTCGAGGCCAGCCTGGTCTACAGAGTGAATTCCAGGAAAGGCGCAAAGCAACCCAGAGAAACCCTGTCTCGAAAAACCAAAAAAAAAAAAAAAAAAAACAATCATTTCAGGCCAGGCGGTGGTGGCGCACACCTTTAATCCCAGGCAGAGGCAGGCGGATCTCTGTGAGTTCGAGGCCAGCCTGGACTACAGAGTGAGATCCAGGAAAGGCACAAAGCTACACAGAGAAACCCTGTCTCAAAAAACCAAAAAAAAAGAATCATTTCCAGCCAGGCGGTGGTGGTGCACCCCTTTAATCCCAGCACGCGGGAGGCAGAGGCAGGCCTGTTGCACTGTGTGGTGGAGGCTGGAAGACCAGGAGTCAAGGCTGTCAGCTCTATATCAAGTTCAGAGCCAGCTTGGGTGACGAGACCCCATCCCAGCAAACAAAAAGAAAATTCTTCTAATTAAATAGAGTGCAAAAGTTTATTTCTGGACCCTGATTTCTATGCCTTTGAGCATAGCATTGCTAGTACCGTACTACCCGATTAACGTAACCCTATAGTAAGTCTTTGAAACAAGAATCAGTGAAGACGGTTATGTTATAACCAGCACCAATTACAGTGCTGCTTGTATCCCAGGTGACCTGGAGCTTCGGATGTGGTCCTCTGGCCTCTGAGGCCCTAGTCCTGGGATTACAGATGAGCGCTGCCACATGTACACGGTCTGTGCAGCACCGAGGATTGAACCGAGGGCTTTGAGCATGCCGAGGAGACACTCTACCAGCTGAGTTGCATCCTAACTTAGCGTTTTCCAGCTTTACTTCATTCTGCCTGTATATAAAAACATTAGGCCGGAACTGCTGCACGCTGCACTTCCCGGCAAGTGGATGCTGCTCCGTAATTAGCAATTCTGGGTGTGCTACTACCAACAAGGCAAAACTCGGGTTTAGAAGCTGTGTGTTCTGAGATACAGTGGTTCTGTAATACCCAACATGTGAGCGGCAGAGAGAGGCAAGAGGATTGGGAGTTCAAGGTCTTTCTTGATTACATGGAGGGTTAGAAGCCAACCTAGATGACACATGACCTTGTCTCAAAAAGAGCAAGGAAATTACGTCTTTAATTTCTGTGACCTGAGGTGAATTTTAGCAGCTCCTCATGGGGAACCAGCAAGTTCTCATTGACTCCGTGCAGTGGGCCCCGGAGTCCGGCACCTTGACCAGCAGTCTAAACTTCAAAATTTCTAGAAATCCAAACTCTGGATCCCGCCCCATGCCACAGGATCAGAATCTCTGCCTGTGTCCCATCAGCCTGTGTTAGCAAGCCTTCCAGTGATTCTGATACATGCTGAAGTTTGGGAGCTGTTACCTTAATGCCTGGATGGGTGCCTTCCAGGGCTGAGAGTGGAGAAGAGATCAATCACATGATTTCCAGAGACTGGACATTCAGGGATAGAGGACAGGAGGCTGGTCTTAAATCTATGTCCGTGTTGATTGTATAGATAGAGCGGCATAGGTAAGCTATGTCTATAACCCTTCCATAGTACTAAAAACGCTGTCAGTCTGCTGTGGGCAGCTCTGAACATGCGCAGTGTGCTTGGAGTGACCAAGAAATCGAAACATCATTGAATTGTAAGGAGCTTCATTGTAAATCCCACATTTGGCTGGTGGTGGCCACATAGCAGCACAGCCTTGGCACCTGCTCCTCAAGGAGACCACTCTTGTGTTAGAAGAGACAGGTTGTAAGGCAGGCTCTGTGGTGCCCCAGGAAGCCACTTCCAGGTGCCACTACCCAGGAAGCATAGAATTTCCAAAGTGTCTTAAAGCAGGAAGAATAAAAGGAGGCCCACCCAGACACTGTTGCAAGATTTTCAAGTTATTGTTATATCCAGTTACTGAAAATATACAGCAGATGCCAAATTATAGCTGTAATTTTAGGGAGAGAGCCGGTGACTGCATAAACCACAAAAGTCAAGGTTCACATTTAACTTACGCCAGGTGACAGGGCAGGGCTTGTGCTGGACCGGGATGACCCCATTCAGGAAGCAGGAAGGTGGCGAGAGGGAGACCGTGGGGAAGAAAAGAGGACCCGACGCTCACCCAGGGGGCCCTGTTAGCTAAGATTTATTTTTAGCTTTGTAAGTTATAAGCATTTTTTTTTCTGAGCTATTTTTATCCTAGAGAGTTTCACCATCTTAAATTCGCAAATGTTTTCCATGCTGTTGCACTGAGAAAAGTGTCTCGGCATCATATTTCCAAAACCAAAAGCCAAGCTAGTTCGTTTCCGGAGGTTCCCAGTGAGAAAGGCAGCTGGGCTTCCTGCCCCACCCTGTCCCGTATGATCTTATTTCCACTTCCTGTTCCCTCTGCATAACCATTTTATTGACAAACATAAGTACAGATAAGCAGGGAAGACAGGGTGGATCTGTGGCACCCTCCATTTGCTAAGACACATATGCACACCCCAGAGTGGAGCCTAACATGGGCTCTGTGGGTGACCTGTAACAAGAAAAGTAACGAAGAGTCCCTCACTCTAAACAATGACCCTCCGTGTGGCTGCATGTCAGAAGGGGGCAGGCATGCAGGTCAGATGTTTCCATACCTTCTCTTCAGTTTAACTTAAGCCAGGTGACAGTGTGAACTGTGCACCTGAAAGTGCTCTTCGAACAGGATGTTTTCAGACTTACCTCGCCACCTGTAACTTGGGAACTTGACACCTCTCTATACATCTGCCCCGAGGATATCACTGACGGTGCTGGGAGATGGGTTCTAGGCCCCACCACACCCTTGGGGGTACCAAATCCCTGGAAGTTTAAGTCCCTATGTACAGTGGTTGGTATTTACATGTAGCCTACACACACTCCCATTAACTCTAACTCATCGAAGTTATTGGTAGCACCTAGCACAGAGTAAATGCTATATGAGTAGTTACACCTAAGAAATCATGGCAGCGTAAAAAGTGTGTATGTTCAGTACAAGCAGTTTGTTCAAGTGTTGTACAGAGTGTTTGGCTGAATTAATGGATATGGAGTCCATGAATACAAAGGACCAACTACATACCACTTTTTAACATTTATTATTATTATTATTTTGTTTTGTTTTTTGAGACAAGGTTTCTCTGTTTAACAGCTCTGGCTGTCCTGGAACTCATTTTGTAGACCAGGCTGGCCACGAACTCACAGAGATTCATCTACCGCGGCCTCCCCAGTGCTGGGATCAAAGGTGTGTGCCACCACCGCCTGACAATATTATTAAATTTTTGTAGGGCATTAAAAATGCCAGGTATGCACTGTACCTCCGAGAAGCACCCCCAAGCTTGACTAGCATTAATTAGTCATCTCCATCATCATTTGTTGATGGTTATAATCTACTTAACCTCCCCGCCTTGGTAGATTCTTGGGTCATTGTTTGCTATTGATAACTCTGACTATCCTGTTACTCTCCTGTCTGCTTCAGAGAAACTTCTAGAAGTCAGTGGATACAAAAAGAAGGCGTATGACTGAGGCTTCTGACATATGTATCAGATTACCCACCATCGACAAAGGCTGCGTTAGTTTATTATTCCCCACACTTACTTTTCCCTTGTTTTTGTTTCGTTCGGTGTTTGGAGACAGGATCTTACTCTGTTAGCCTGGGCAGGCCTGAGTTTGTGGCAACCCTCCTGCCTCAGCTTCCCAAGCTTCTGGGCATGAGCCCCCCAGCCCAGCCCCTGCTCTGCTTTCTGACCCCGAAAATTCCTCCACCCTGCCGCTTTCTTTTCCTTTCCCTTTAGCACAGTTTCCAGCACAGGGCTCCAGCGCAGGGCTCCAGCGCAGGCTCCAGCGCAGGGCTCCAGCGCAGGGCTCCAGCGCAAGGCTCCAGCGCAGGCTCCAGCGCAGGGCTCCAGCGCAGGGCTCCAGCGCAGGCTCCAGCGCAGGCTCCAGCGCAGGGCTCCAGCGCAGGGCTCCAGCGCAGGCTCCAGCGCAGGGCTCCAGCGCAGGGCTCCAGCAGGTAGAGGAGCCCACATGCTGCTTCCAGGCTTGGCGGCAGAGCAGTCCCTGTCTGCTCAGGTGACAGTGCTCTCTGGGGCCACCTTCTTATGTGCGTTTTTGTTTTCTTTTTCAGAGTGAACTAGATGTATCCTTTTTCAGAACATTTTTCCATGGTATGTGGCAAAGCCCGCTCTAGGTGTAATCAGGTAAGTGCCATCGCACAGGAAGGTGATTTGGCAGAATCCAGGACACCACTCACCTGTGACCCTGCCGAGGCAGCCCCACAGCAGGTGGTTCACTGTCAACCCTCCCCTTTCAGAGACAATGCTTTGTAAGATCCCTTTTTCTTTTTCTCCAAACAAAGTAATGAGGTGGCGGTATTCAAAAATAGCTATTACATGGGGCTGGAGAGTTGGCTCAGCGGCTAGGAGCACTGGCTGCTCTTCCAGAGGACCCGGGTTCAATTTCCAGTGCCCACATGCAGCTCACAACTGTCTGTAACTCCAAGATCTGACACCCTCACACAGACATACACATAGGCAAAACATCAATGCACATAAAAGAAAAATAAATTGTATGTTTAAAAATATAACTATTACATATTGATTTAGCTTACCCATATCAGATAGGTTTGTTCAAAACGTGTGTCCCACAGGAAAAGTGCTTTTCTCAGGGAGACTGAATTTCAGGGTAAGTCCCCAGAATCCCCTCATGAACAGAAGGTGGAATTCTGGGGGATGACCTGGAGGGTTAAAGTCATTACCTGGCTTATGTTTATTTCTTTTTATAGCAGAAAAAGTTCTTTTTTTCTCTCTCTCTCTCTCTCTTAAATCAAATCTGTCTCTGGGACTGGGGATGCAGCCCCATGGCAAAGCACCTGCTTAGCATGTGCTTGGCCCATGACTCAGTCCCAGCACCTAACAACAAAACAAGCTTTCCCAGGAACCCAGATGTGGGCAGGCACTCACCAGGCTTTTTACAAGTCTCTACAAGTATAATATGTTGACTTCTTTTTTGTTTTGTTTTGTTTTGTTGTTGTTTTTCGAGACAGGGTTTCTCTGTGTACCTTTGGAACCTGTCCTGGATCTCGCTCTGTAGCCCAGGCTGGCCTCCAACTCACAGAGATCCGCCTGTCTCTGCCTCCCAAGTGCTGGGATTAAAGGCGTGCACCACCACTGCCAGGCTGATATGTTGACTTCTAAGATTATTTTTCTCCAAAAACCTGCCCGCCTTTGGGCTGGAGAAACGGCTCTGTGGTTCAGAGTACCTATTGCTCCTGAGAGAACCTGAGTTTGGCTCAGAGCCCCACACCAGGCGGCTCCCACCTGCCTGTCACTGCCGTTCCAAGGGTCCCAATGCCCTCTTCTGGACTCCTCAGCCACTGAGCACATGCAGTGAGCCAATGCACATAAACAGGCTGGACACGGTGGCGCACACCTTTAATCCCAGCACTCAGGAGGCAGAGACAAGCGGATCTCTGTGAGTTCGAGGCCAGCCTGGGCTACAGAGTGAGTTCTAGACCAGGCAGTGCCACATGGTGAGACACTGAAAACAAAAATATAAAACAATAAATAAACTCACTCATACACATACACCCAAAGTAAAACAAATATTTTATTAAAAAATCTGCCTATCACTTGAAACTGATAAAGACAGCCTTTGAAAACATATTTGGCTTAACTCTAAAATAATTATGATTGTTTATTTATGTATAATATTAGCAGGTAACAGATCTATGAGTTACAACATGTGTGTGTGTGTGTGTGTGTTTATGTGCAGTATGTACACAGTAGATACCACTGCTCAGAATCGGTATTTGTTTGCGTCAGCACACTCTTCTGGAGCAATAGCCATTTGCTCTTGTGGGAAGAACTGGTCATAGTCACATCTAAGGAGAGGTGGTTGGTCTCTAGTGGCAAGTGACCCAAATCTATGATCCTAAGAGATCGAAGACCAGACAGCGTGTGTGACATTTTTTTTTTAAATATTTATTTTATGTGTGGAGGTGTTCTACATCATGTTTGTCCATGCCTGGTGCCCTTGGAGGCCAGAAGAAGGGGTCAGGTCCCCTGAACTAGAGTTGCAGGTGGTTGTGATCTGCCAGGTAGGTGCTGGGAATCGAACCCAGATCTACAGAAAGAGCAGCAGTGCTCCTAACCACAGAGCCATCTCTCCAGCCCCGTGACATTCTATCTTAATTAAGCCATTTAAAGCAATTCAAAATAAATCTGTTTTTAATTGGACAGGGGAGTTAAAAAAAAGCTTTTAAAAAATATTTTAAAAGTCATGAAAATGGCAAGAGCTAGCAGACACCGCTGGAGTTAAAAACTCAAGACCCACCTCTGGCCTTGCCACTAACTGCGGGTTGTATTGAGCAGACACATTTATTTCGGAGGAATAATTAGGCTAGAGGAGCTTCAGCACCCTCTCAGCCTAGACTGGGATCTTGCCATGGTTCCAGGTGACAGAACTGAGTGATCTGACACTTAGTGAAGGGCTTCTTCCATGTCCAGCCGTCAAAGGGTGGCCGTCAAGCGGCAGGGTGTGTATTGGAGTCGCACTGGTTGTGTTGGAGTAGCTTATGCTAACTAGCGTTCAGTGGGAAGACGGGCAGGCGTGTTCTCTCTGTAGACTTCTGGAATGATCGGCCTTCTAGTTGCAGCTTATTTTCCATACCAAGACCCACAGTTTGTGGTTTTTTTCTCCTCCTTTGCCTTCGTGTTGTTGCTGTGTTTGTTCGTTTGTTTGTTTGTTGAGACAGGGTCTCTCTATGTAGCCCTGGCTGATCTCGAACCTGCTATGACCTGGAACACACAGAGATGCACCTGCCTCTGCCTCCACGTGCTGGGATTAAAGGTGGGCGCCACACCTGGTCCACCTGCTTTCATTTCACCTTTCTTTCCTACGTTGTCTGTTTCAGTCCAGAGGAACTTCTCTTAAAATGTTACTATCCCCGGAACCATTCGAAAAACAGCAAATTCAAAACTCAGGACTGACTCGCCTCACACATGGCTCTCTTCAGCCATCTGCCCCAGAGGGCCTGTACAGAGAGAGACTCCTGTGGCAGGGAATCAGCAGTCCATGGAGACTGCACCCTAGTTCCTGCCTTCCGTGGGGAGGGCGACCTTCTCCAGCCCGCTCTTCAGTGCCACGCAGCGACCGCTTCCAGGCATGTGCCCTAGAGCCGCCAGGTTGAAACAGGCGCTTGTCACACTTGCCACCTGCTTCTCCCAACACTCAGAGCCCACAGTCTTTGGAGTGCTGAGTGTAAGAAAGTCTTCCTGGGCCGGGCGGTGGTGGCGCACGCCTTTAGTCCCAGCACTCTGGAGGCAGAGGCAGGTGGATCTCTGTGAGTTCAAGGCCAACCTGGTGTACAGAGAGAGTTCCTAGACAGCCAGGGCTGTTACACAGAGAAACCCTGTCTTGAGGTCAGAGCCTTGGGAAGTTCTCAAGAAGCCCCGTGCAAGGCCAACTCGGATCACTTACATTTCTCTCCAGTACACGCTGCTCTACTACTTCCAGCCGAGACTTCCAGAACAAGACAGATGGGATTTAAACAGAAGAGACCCACGCAGGAGAAATCGTTCAGGAACTCTGGCTTGTTGAAACCCTTCTTTCCAGTACGTGGAACCTCTTGGTGCGGTGGTGCCTGGTGGGCAACCTGCCCACTTGAGACAGAGCACCTCAGTGACCTAAGTCGCCCCCATGGGGAATAAGCCTATCCCCCCACCGCACCTCCGCAACCAGGCTCTTCTTCACTCACCCCGTCCCAGGCCTGGGAGCAGGGCTAGGCAAACAGGAGGGTAGCCGTGCTGCCCGTATATGGACACAGGAGGAAAGCCCGTAGCTGCCTGGCATCCTTACAGTGTCCTTTTATGCTCCCTCCCACACAAATAGGAGGTAGCCCAGAACCCCGAAGGTTTGATTTAGAGGACACTTATCCTGCTCTCGGAAAGATGAAGTCCAAGGCCAGCTTGGGCTACATAGGGGTGGATGAATGAATGGATGGATGGACAGACAGACAGACAGTATTTGGTTTTGGTTTTTCAAGACAGGATTTGTCCGTGTAGCCCTGACTGACCTGGAACTCTTTATCTGTAGACCAGCCTGGCCTCAAACTCAGAGACCTGCCTCCCTCTGCCTCACTATGATGATGGATATTTCTGTTTTTATACAACTGATGAAATAGGCCATGATCTCTGAGACTCTATTTATTTATCTATTTATTCATTTTCAAAACAGGGTTTTTCTGTGTAGCCCTGGCTGTCCTGGAACTTGCTCTGTAGACCAGGCTGGCCTCGAACTCAGAGATTTGCCTGCCTCTGCCTCCCAAGCGCTGGGATTAAAGGCGTGGACCGGCTGACGGTTCTCTAGAACATGCTCTTATTTTATAAGCCCATAAAGCCCCAAAGCCACTGACCCACACTCCAGGCTGCTGTGGTTTGCAAGGCCACCTGTTCCACGCGCTCCTTATGATCACAGAGCTGGGGGCATAAGGAATGACGTCAGCATTGCAGTCTCTGAGTCTGCCACCCTCTAGCAGAGCACATCCCTCATGATGACAGCTTGCGGGCCACCCTGATCAGTGCCTGGCACCACTGAGATTCGTGGACATGCTGTAGTACTTGAGACCCAGAGCTCAGCTCTAGTTAAGTTTCTTCACTAACATCTTAAAAGCCTGTGTCCATCACAGGCCCGGAACCCAGCGGAGAATACTCCCACAGGTGCTCACCTCAGCCCGGTGGGATGAGAAACGGCAAAGCCATTTGTTCAAACAAGGACTGTGGAGACAGCGGCCAGGTGAGCAGGCATGGCGCAGGGTTGCCATCCCAGTGCGGACTCTCAGCTTCCCAGTGAGCCCCCCGGAGCTCCTCCAGCCAACACTGAGAGGCTCAGACAGGATCCTTCTCAAGGGGTCTGCATCCCCCTGAGAAAGGGATGTGAATGGCAGATCCAAGAGTCCGCTTCCTGCCTCCTCCGACTCCCATAATCTTCTTACTTTTGTATCTCCTTTGTTTTTGTGGTTAGTTAGTTAGTTACAGGATTAGTTAGTTAGTTAGTTAGTTAGTTAGGGGGGACAGGCTCTGCAGCCTAGGCTGGCCTCAACTTGTGGCAGTCCTCCTCAGCCTCCCAAGTACTGAGATCACGGAGTGAGTCCCCACATCCAACTCTTAGGTGGATGGCCTACTCACTTTGTCCCTTGTGTCTTGGTTATTTTACTCAACAATCCTAACAGCAAGTTATGAGAAGCAACTGGAGTTAGGGCTCACTAGTCCTCGTGTGGCTCACTGGGGTAACCTCAGCCTAGCATTCCTAAGACTCTGGGTTCAGTGCCAGCAAAGCGAGCGAGAAGGAAGTACAGACAGACCTAGACGTTCAGACTTAAAAATGTTTTTGATCTATTTTATGTGTATGGATGCTTTGTCTGTCTGTATGACTGTGTGCCACATGCGTGACTAGTGCCCAAGGAGTCCGGAAGAGGGTGTCGGATCTCCGCAACTGGAGTTACAGATGGTTGTGAGCTGCCATGTGGGTGTTTATAACTGCTGAGCCATCTCTCCGGTTCTCCAGAGTTGGCCATTTTCGTGTCTAGGCGGGGCTCTGCCTTGTGGTGGTTCTGAAAGTTCTGTTTGACTCTGGTTTACTCTGTTCTCTCACTTATTAAAGGACTATTAACCCACCACATTGATATAAAAAGACCATGTAGGGCTGGGTAGGGTGTCTCACACCTGTATTCCAGCACTGGGAAGGTGGAGGTAGGGGGGTCAGGAGTTCAGGGCCATCTTCAACCACCATAACAAGGGCAAGGCCAGTCAGACTACCTAAGATCCTGTCTCAAGGAAAACAAAATAACATCATGTGAGAAGCATGTTTTAGGAGGTGGAGATAAAAATGCTTGTGTAAGACACATCTGATGTTCCATCCAGTCTGCCCTCCATAGAAATCCCACAAGGTTGGGTTTCTAGGTTGAGAAACATGGGCTTTGGTAAATGTGTTCCTTGGGAAGTTGTTTGTGGTTTTCGGGGTCAGTCATGTTCAACCTAGCCTGCAGGAAGTTCTTTCCCTAATCACTTGAATTAATAGACCCACAGTCCAGTCTCTTCTTGCTTCCTCCTGTTCTAAACGTCAGAGCTAAAGTATTTGCCTGTTTATTGCCTTGAGGCTTGGCATATATGATACTTTTTTGGTCCCTGGCCTATGGCCCAAATGCCACTAACCTTGGCTCTACCAGTGTGTACAAGTTGCTCATAAACCAAATCAAGACGTGAACAGCTGGATTCTTATTTTAAAGGAGTCATGTGATGGGGGAGCATCAGCTTTCAGGCCTTTGCTTCGAATTGGGATCCGGTCTATGGTTTGCTCATGTAGAACCGGGTGATGATTAGGGTTTGAGCCAGATACACAGATAGGCAGTCACATGGCCACAGTACAGAGTGACCTCACTGCCTAACTCGCGTTTCCAGGAGGTTGGGAAAGTCAGGCTTGCCAAAGGACCTTGTCCTTGCAATGTGGGGGTGTGAGTAATAAATAATCACTTGAATTTCAAAACAGTCAGGCAGCTGCTCAAGGGGCACCTGGACAATGTCGTTTATTTGCTGAAGATGGGAGAGTTTGACCAGTGAACCAATTAAACAGATAAAGTTAGGTTTCCTCCTATCTCAAAGAAGATCAAAGACAGAGAAGTCGCTAAGGCTTCCACTGCCCTCAGTGCCTACCCAGAGGGCTCCAGGGTCTTTTTCTTTCGGCCCCCTGTGCTGCTTAATCCCTTTTTATTTTTGAGACGGGCTGTTATGTATCCCAGGCAGACCTGTAACTTGCCATGTAGCCAAAACTTGCCTTGAGCTTCTGATCCTCCTGTCCTTACCCCCCCCCCCCCCCCCCCCCCCCCCCCCCCCCCCCCCCCCCGACCAAGAGCTGAGATCACAGGTATGCATTCCTACACCTTGTTTATGGGGTGCTGGGGATCAAACACAGGACCTCACACCTGCTAGGCCGGCACTGCCCGCTGAGCCGTATCCCCAGTCAGCCCCTCAGCTCTGTCTTTCTGTCTCCCTGGCTGCGTTCCCACTGTCTCAGCCTGTAAACTCTGGCCGCTGGTTCAGTTGAGCAGGGTTGAGTCTAACGTTCATCCCAGTCCTACTTTGGTCTGGGACAAAGCAATCATCTATATAATTGGAAGACATTATTAATAGGTATATCAGAGCAAAGCTTTTTTTTTTTTTTTTCTGGGTCACTTCAGGACAGTTCCCATCGGCTCCTGAAAAAGTGTATTCTGCTAGTGGGCTATTTGCACAGAACTTAATGAGATGTTAACAGAGTATAATGGAAACTGAATCTCATTCACAGGTTGTCCCATTCTCTGTAGACAGACTTCACTGAGCAAATACAATAGAGACTTTAGACATCAGGAATTGAACAAAATCAGGTTATAATTTGTTTTGTAAAGATTCATAATTACAAACTCACTGGCGTGTCTATTCAATCACCCACTTGTCAAATGGAGTTTGTCTATTTGAAACAGCTGTCTCTTTCTTTTCAGACAGCTCTTTAAAACCAGAATCTCAGGTTTCAGATGGAAAATTAAGAAACATTTAAGGATTGCGGCCATCTTGCTCCACAGTTAGACACCCAGATGAATGTGTTCTCAGGAGTATGGCTCTTTCTGGTTTCTCACTGCCCAGTGCCCTCTTCTTCCCATACAGAGACTAGTTTTCCAGTAAGTGTTCCACCACGTTAAGCCTTCATCATCCAAAAGTGTTGGAACTCTCCATTTGTGAAACTCACAACTTCCGTCCTTGGGGAGTGTAGTTAGCATGCCTCCCCTCCTTTATGCCTTTCTTTCTCCTCTGGACTATTTTTCTTCTGCCAGGCAGAGAAGACAGCTGACACAGGCCCAGGAGGGTGCTTGTGGGTAGGTACAGCCCTGGGGGCTGAGGTGCAGGCCCAGGAGGGTGCTTGTGGGTAGGTACAGCCCTGGGGGCTGAGGTGCAGGCCCAGGAGGGTGCTTGTGGGTAGGTACAGCCCTGGGGGTGAGGGATGGTGTTGATTTGGAGCCCCCGGCTCCTCAAGAGAAGCCTGGAGAACAGAGCAGTCAGTGCAGCCCAGATCTGGCTTTTACCAGTCCTGTGACCTCGGCCAAAGACTTTAGACATTTGCTTCTGTGTAAATGGGGATTGTAGAGAAGACTGAGATAATATATTAACACTTTTGTCACAATGCCTTGAGCATAGTGAGCATTTCAGCATACATTGTGTTATTACTGAGGTCAAGTCGTTTTCTTGCTGAAACGTTACTTGCTGTGTTCTCTGGCATGTAATAATAGTTTCTAGCCCACTTTGGTAACAAAATGGGCCGTTCTGGATTGGGATGTTGCTCAGGACTAGAGTGCTGCCTAACGTGCAAAGCCCTGAGTTCCATCCTGAGCACAGATACATACATACACACACACAGATAATTTAAGGAGCTGTTTCATTTCAATATCTACTTATTGAACTTGCTTAGCCAAGGTAAATCTAGGTATGTACATGTTTATGAAGGTAACCTTTACTAAGGATTTAAAAAACAAAACTCATGTTTAGGCTTATTTACCAGGAAAATACCAGGCTAAGCCATGTTACTATTTCTATTTGTCAATTCTCAAGCTAATTTCCTTAACAGAACCTAGATAATGTTTAATTTGGATAAAGTCCACATCATTTTGGATGAGATGCTGTTAAACGGCTGCATTGTGGAGACGAACAGATCCAGAATCCTTGCCCCGCTCCTGATTCTGGACAAGATGGCAGAAAGCTGAAGACGGCCACATGAGGTCTGCGTGGGTGACCACCACGGAAGACACCGCCACCGCAACGACCTTCCGGAAGCTCGCTAGCTGTTTCCCATCATCGTACAAAGACATTTTCTCTCCTAAGAGCGCCAGGATTTCACCTGGTCACTGTAAGCCTGCTTCTCCTTCTGCAGGAACAGCAGGGTTGTAGCGGGAAGTTGTGTAGTGTGGCAGTTGTCCATCAGCCAATAAACTTCAAAGTGACTTGACTATGACATTTGAGTAAAGTTTTTCTGCTCCCTATCTCCTTCCTCAAAGCCTCAAGCACTCTCACACTGTGCTACATAGCCCTAGGCACCCCCCCCCTTTCCTTGATTGTGTGTGTGTGTACATGTTTGTGCAGAGACCAGAGGTCAGCCTTGGTGTCTTCCTCAGTTGCTTCTCCTGTATTTCAAATATAGTTCCAACTTAGTCTTTGAGAACTTCATATGTGTAATGTATTTGATCATATCCACCCCGCACTCACCATCTTTTGAGACAGGCTTTCACTGACCCGGGGAGCTCACTGATTGGGCTAGACTGGCTGGCCAGCATGTGCTGTTCTACCCGACTCTTTTTCTCGGGACAGGGTTTCTCTGTGTAGCTTTGGAGCTCCTGGAACTCACTCTGTAGCCCAGGCTGGCCTCGAACTCACAGAGATCCGCCTGCCTCTGCCTTCCCAGTGCTTGGATTAAAGGCGTGTGCCGCCACCGCCTGGCTTCCACCCAACTTTTTGCTTTTGCCATGCAGACTACAGAACACAGAGCTGTTTATCTGTGCACACTGCTGTGGAGGGTGGTGTGCAGCGGAGGAAGAACTATCTAGGCCCTGTGCGGCCCTCCAAGAGTTCTTCCAGCTGTATGAGTCCTCCATGAAGCACGGTGCTGTTCTCATGTAAGGATGGGGAGAGGAGGGGCTCTCTTTTCTAAAATTCTACATAGAGATTTTAACGTCTGAATCCAGGAAGACCAGAACACTAGTCATATTAGACTTCAAAAGCCAAACGGTTGTTGTCCTGCACTCATCTGGACAGGCCCAGGGAAGGCTTCTGGCCCGTGGAGACAACACACAATGTGTTTGTTATGAAGTCGTCAGGATCTGGGGAAAGCCCCACCTAGATCAAAGACCTTCGAGGTCTTGCCGAGACACCGCAGCAGCGGCGGCAGCAGCAGCGGCAGGGAACCACTGGCCTAGTTGGTAGGCACTTAATCAGTAGCACATGGAAGAAACTGCCGAAACTGGTACACCAGCAGCAGCTAGGGAGTGAGCAAAATTAACTTCTGGGTCACGCTAAAATAGTCGGTGAATTATATCTTGGCACAGATTTTAGGACCTTTAGAGAATATTGAAGTTTAAAAATATTAAGTAGATACCATAGGAAATACACTGACGAGCTTAACTGTATTTGGAGACCCCGGTACGTCTGACAGCACCTGAGTCAAAGTGAGCTGTGCTGTGGCTGTGGCTGTGCTGGCTGTGGCTGTGGCTGTGGGTGTGCTGTGGCTGTGGGTGTGGCTGTGGCTGTGCTGTGGCTGTGCTGTGGCTGTGGGTGTGCCGTGCTGTGGGTATGCTGTGCTGTGGCTGTGGGTGTGCTGTGGCTGTGCTGTGCTGTGGCTGTGTTGTGGGTGTGGCTGTGCTGTGGGTGTGGGTGTGCTGTGGCTGTGGCTGTGCTGTGGCTGTGGCTGTGCTGTGGGTGTGGGTGTGCTGTGGGTGTGGCTGTGCTGTGGGTGTGGGTGTGCTGTGGGTGTGCTGTTGTGACTGTGTTGTGGCTGTGTTGTGACTGTGCTGTGGCTGTGGGTGTGCTGTGCTGTGCTGTGGCTGTGGGTATGCTGTGTTGTGACTGTGCTGTGACTGTGCTGTGGCTGTGCTGTGGCTGTGCTGTGGCTGTGGCGTGGCTGTGGTGCTGGGCAGCCACCCCCCTTCAGCTGAGTGCCTGCAGCGACTTTTGACTCTCCCGGCAGAGCCGATCTGCTCAGAACGTCAGATAACCCACTGAAGCAGTAGTACAAAGGCAACCCCACATGGTCCATAACTGAAAGAACATGACTGTTCTAATGGAAACTATGGACATGTCAGGGCTGGGGTGTCGGCAGGATGCTTGCCCAGCATACATGAGGCACAGGTTTGAGCCCTAGCACTCCATAAAGCAGGCTTGGTGGCGCATGCCTGTAATCCCGACACTGGGGAGCCAGAAGTTCAACATCATTCTTGACTATATTCAGTTTGAGACCAGCCTAAGTCAGCCATCTTGAAAAAAGGTATTAATAAGATACTTTTACTTGCATTTCCAACCATCTAAAAACCTGGGGTCAGTGAGTAAAGGCACTTGTCCCCAAGCCTGGTGACCTGAATGTGATTTCTAGGACACATGGTAGGAAAAAACCAGCTCCCTTTTTCTTTTTCTTTTTTTTTTCTATAACTTTAGTTTTATTTTCATCTTATTTATTTATTTATTTATTTATTTATTTATTTATTTATTTATTTATTTATTTTTGAGACAGGGTCTCACTCTGTAGCTGTTCCCTTTTTCTTTTAGATAAGATTTCACTGGCTGCCCTGGATGGAACTCACAGAGATCCACCTGCCTCTGCAATTAATGGTTTAACAGTGTGGGTCACCACACTCAGCTGGAGGAAACTGCCACTTACAAATTGTACCTCTGTACGTGTGTCGTGGTACATACACTATTCTCCCTCATTCCCATGTGTGTGCCGTGGTACATACACTACACCCCCCCTCCCCAATCCTATATGTATGCCATGGTACGTGCATTATCCACCCCTCCCAAATCAGTGTTTAAAAACAAGACAAACCATTTTAAGATCACACTTACCTCGTGGTTAATAAGAACAGTGAGTCAGCAGACCATGATCTGCTACCCCACCACCAAATGGCCTTCCCAAAAGCTCACCACTTACAAGGTTTTTTTTCCCTTGTTTAAAAATTTAAATAATGGCAATACTGTACACATAAGTGGTTTCAAGTCTAGAGTTTTAGTTGTGTAGCCATGACTTCACTGAGAAGTTAAAACAAAAAATGAACAACAAAAATCTTGACTTTTCTGATTGAAACAAAGGTAATATACAGAAATGTTGCTGTTATGTCTTAATTTTTTTTTAATTATTCATTTGTATTTTATGTGCATTGCTGTTTTGTCTGCATGTGTGTCTGTGAGGGTGTCAGATGCCCTGGAACAGGAGTTACAGTCAGTTGTGAGCTGCCATGTGGGTGCTGGGAATTGAACCTGGGTCCTCTGGAAGGGCCGCCACCAGTGCCCTTAACCACTGAATCATCGCTCCAGCCCTATGTCTTAACCTTCAGTCTCACAGTCGACTGTGAAGCTGATCAAGTAAAGGAAAAGGCTGGCTCTGGCTACACACTCACAACACTGGTTCCACATACAAGGCTTGAACCAAGAGCAGACTCACAATTTGGAAAATCGCCGACACTCAACACTTACAGGTGTTTTCTTACACAGGAGTTACCCAGTGTTGGGTGCCATGGTAGAGATGATTTCAAGCCTCCAGAAGGGTGTGGGCAGGACATATGCAAATACTTTGGCATTTGTGTAAGAGATCATCCTGCAACCGATCCTCTTAGGATTCTGACAGGACTAAAAACACTGACTGTGGCTATCTCTTACAAATGTACCTAGTACTGAGCAACTTCATATATGTTCCCAGTGCCCTTTAAAAGCCATCGTGGGAAGCTGGAGAGATGGCCCAGTGGTTAAGAGCACTGGCTGCTCTTCTAGAGGACACAGGTTAATCCCCAGCACCCATACTGTGGTTCACAACCATCTGTAACACCATTCCTGGGGGAAATCTGATGCCCTCTTCTGGCCTGAACAGGTACTGCACACATGGTGCACAGTCATATTTGCAGGCAAAACACACACACACACACACACACACACACACACACACACACACACACACACACACAAATAAAAAAAATTAAGGTTGTTATTATTATTGTTGTTAAAGCTACTGTGGTAACAAAAGAACTCTGGAAATTAGAAATACATCCGCTGGGTGGTGGTGGCTCATGCCTTTAATCCCAGCACTTGGAAGGCAGAGGCAGCTGGATCTCTTTAAAATCAGAAAATAGTAACATCCTGGTTTCTTTCCACACGAACACAACATAGGATCTTCATTCTTAATCTCAGATCTCCTCCTCCCTTAAGATACAAATGCTAACTAGTGGATCTGCTTTTTAAAAAGTTAACACTGGCAAGGCACGGTAGCTCACACCTACAGTCCCAGCTTCCAAGGGGCAGAAGCAGAAGGGACACCAGCCTGAGGCCAGCCTGAGCTACACCGAGAGCTCTAGGCCGGCCTGGGACGAAGACCTGTCTCAAAACAAATGAAAAACGAATGTTTATTTCTAGCTGAGAATTACTCTGTAACTAAACATGGAAGACGGGCCACACATACATGAATACCTATTTTTGTAATTCCCCAGTTTCACCAAGTGCATTTCCCATAGAAAAGTCCATTTCTTCTTATAGTGATTTCATGAAACTGCATAACTGAAAATGAACAGAAGGCAGATCCCCACCTCTCCCTGTTCCCCCAGATCCAATCCCCCAGTCTCATCCCCAACTCTGTAGCAGAACACCTGTGGCAGCCTTCCTCCCTCTCCCCCACCTTCCTTGGATGCCACAGATCTTCCCCTTTTAACACGCCCCCCCATTGCTTTCTCCCTGCCTCCAACCCCAGGGGGCACCCCTGCTGACCCAAGGGCTAAGCCTGCCAGGGAGCCAGGTAGGCTGACTGCAGGTCTTCACCTCTCCACTCAAGTTCCAGCCCCTGCGCCCACCTTCTGACCCCCAGCTCTGCGGCAGAAAGTCCACTGTGGTCTCCCTTTCTTCTCTGACCCTATCCCCAACAGATCACAGAGATCTTCTCTAACCTCCCTCCCCCACCTCATCCAATTATCTCAGCCCCCAACCCCAGCAGGCACACCTTGGGAACACACCAGCTGAGCAAGCCAAGGGAACGGGTCCACAGGAAATTCTCTACGAGGCAGCACACAGCCATCACAATCTCGAGTCCAGACAGAAAGCAGAAACCAAACACCCAACAGAGACAAAAGCAGATGTCAGCATGCAGACGTATAACCATCCCAATTCCAGATGCTAGATGCCAGCAGAAAAACAAAATAACCGCCAGGACAATGTCTCCACTAGAGCCCAGCAACCCTACCACAGCAGGCCTTGAAAAGTCCAACGGAG